CACTGCTGCTGAAAGTTTGGTACCCAGTACCCTCCTGGCAGAGAGCCCATAGAGGAGAGGGGTGGGGCCTGCAGGGTGTTGGTAATGCTTTCTGAGCTGGCATGTCCCTGTGGTTAATGCGAATTGTGGACCATCTCTCTTCTCTCCCTCCCTCCTTTTTTTTCTCCTCTCCATTGCTTTCGGAAGTACTCGGTATGGGAGTCCCAAAAGACAGCTCCAGTTTTACAGGTAATGAGTCCTTCATTTTCCCTAAAACCCGACAAGCAGAAGGCCAGGGAGTGGGTGGGAGGACCATGCAGATCCCAGGAAAGATGTACCGGAGTTGTCTCTGAAGTAGAACTCCCCACCCATAAGATCCAGTGACCTATGGCACTACTCACCCAGCATCATGGAAGCATCCGGATGAAAAACATAGAGTCTCATTAACTATGTGCATTAATCTACTAGAAGTTCTCTTTGATTTAACAAATGGGCTTCTGATGGCTGCTTAGCTCTCCACCAAACCTGCCATCAACACATCAATCGTCAGGCAGTGGGGAGATGCTTTCCTGTGGCCACGGGTCTGAGCTTCTTAGAGCATCAGAGTGAAAGGCTAAGTGGCCATCCCATCGATTCTTCCTTTGTCCTGGGGATTTGAGCTGATTTGTAGCCTACAAAGACCTGGCATTAATCAAAGGCTAACTAACACCTTCCTCAGGGTATACTGATGTGACCTGTGTCATCATCAGGGGTGGACTCGTCGTCTTTCTGATGTGTTTCCCTGTTGGCAAATTAGCAAAGCTGGTGCTTGCTTAGTGGTAGGCTATGTGTAAAGGGACATCAAGAGGCCAGGCTTGCATCCTAACTTACAGACCCATCAGCTGGCTCCTCTTGGGAAAGCCCCTTCTCCCCTCTAGGCGGCCCTCTCCTCATCTGTGAACTACAAAAATTAAACCCCATACCTCCTTCCTTCTCCTCACATCTGTGACTCTAGGATGTTACTTTAATTGACTTCTTCCAGCCATCAGAGTCTGCAGGGTTGCAGGTCCCAGGAGTGAGCTGGAATGTGTTGACAACCAGGCCTGTGATGTCTGTCTCTCCAGAAGCAGCTCCCAGCATCATGCATGCCCAGCAGTGGCCAAGCTATGGGATGTTGGTGCCCGGTGCCATGAAGGCAGCTCAGGCAGGGAGGGTTGGGGACAGCAATAGACTCCCACTTGCCTTTGTCCTTCCCATGACTTTAGTGCCACCGAATACAATCATGGCCTAGGACTTAAGCTAATGTGTATCACTGCTTCAGTGCCTCCTATGGGGTCTCTTTCATTACAGATAGCCAAATCTTTGTCCTGAAATATTTGTGATATGAGATTTTGCCTGAAATAGATCGATCTGAACTTGGACTTGCAAATCCTTTTATTGGCTGGAATGTGTATCATAATGTGTGGCACCCATCCCAGAAGGACTTGGCCAGAGAACCCAAACTTGCACCTAAGCTGCATCCTCAGAGAGCCCTTCCCTCTGCAGCCCATGGGAGGAAAGAGTGAGGCCAGACAAGCTGGCAGAAAAGTCACAGGTGCAGATCAGCCAGCTCAGGGGCCTTGTTCATAGAAGGTGCTGGTCTGCTGTTGGATATAAATGAGTGAAGGTAAAAGCATGTTCCATACCATTTGCTAGCCTTCATAACCCCAAGGATCCAGTGATTGTCTCCCCTTTGAGAGCCCTCAGGATAAGCTCCCTCAATCTAATGAGGTGTACTCTGACCCAAGGGCAGCTCTGTCAAGAAGAGCCCCCAAATGTGAAGACCTACCTCCATGCTTCTTAGCTCCATGCTCCCAAGGCCCACAGACTCCAACATCCTACCCTTTGGGTATCCAGTGGGGTAGCTACACATAGACATGCGGGGCTTTGATGATGGCTTCTAGGAGGTGGGATCTGTGTGTGTTTAGCATACTGGGTACCAGTCTGAGGGGGTGGGCATCCTCATCACATAGGCACTGAGTACTGGTTCTTAGCAGTTGCCATCAAGTTGACTCTGACTCATGGAGACTCTATGTGTGTCAGAGTAGAACTGTGCTCTGTAGGATTTTCAAGGGCTGACTTTTTATAATTCAATCACGAGGCTTCTCTTCTGAGGCACCTCTGGATGGACTTGATCATCCAGACTTTTGTTTAGCAGCTGAGTATATTAACCATTTGTACCACCCAGGGACTGCAGATATGGCTCTGGATGGTTATTTAAGCCAGCCAACAACATGAACACCCTGGCCATGCCTGGCCCTCTAATAATAGGGACAAAGGTTTCTGAGGCATGTGCCATGCCTTCAGGCAGCCCACAGGCTAGTATAGAAGGTGAGAACCTATATTGCTCAGCTATCACCATGTAATGCTGTATAGCACAGTCCCTAACCTCATGGTAGGCACCAATAAGCATTTATTTCTGGCTGAAACATCTGTGGGTGAGCTGGCATGGGCTGGCCTAGGCTGAGCTTGGCTGCATCTCTCCATGCTGCAAGTGAGTCTCAGGGTGCCCCATCCTTCTTCACTGGGGGCCATCCCAGGCATGGAATCCCCAGATGGTGCAAATGGTTAACGTGCTCTCTGTTAACTGAAAGTTTGGAGGTTGGAGTCCACTCAGAGGCACCTTGAAAGAATAGCCTGGTGATCTACTTCCAAAAACTCAGCCATTGAAAACTCTGTGGCAGAGTTCTACTGTGACACACATGGTGTCACCATGAGTTGGAGTGGGCTCCACGGCAACTGGTGGTGGTTGGAGACTCCCGGCATAGTCTTCTCATGGAAGAAGCACCAGAGGACAAGTGGAAACATGCAAAGCCTCTTAAAGTCACACTTGCAAGTAGCACATGTCACTTCTGCTCATGCTCTTCTGACCAAAGCAAGCCACATGACCAAGCCGAAAATCAAGGGCAGGAAATATATTGCTCTCACAAGGGGGCATTCTCAGAGTCTAGTGGTAAAGGCCATGGGTACAGAGAGGGTAAGATGGGGAATGACAATACATTCTATGCCAGAGCCCACATAGCTCATATCTGTTGTTAGTTGCCATCATGTTGCTTCCAACTCACGGAGACCTTGGGTATATCAAAAGGAAATATTGCCTCATCCTGTTGACTGCCAGCTTGCTCAAGTCCATTGTTGTGGCTGTTGTGGCAATCCATTTCACAAAGGGTCTCCCCTCACCCTCGTTGACCGTCTGCTTCATCAAACACAATGTCCTCCTTCAGTGACTGATCCTTCCTGATGATGCTTCCAAAGCAAACGAACTGGGCAATGTTGTGCTCCGTAACGTTTTCATTGGCTAACTTTCAGAAGGAGATCACCAGCCCTTTCTTCCTATTCTGTCTTATTCTGAAAACTCTGCTGAAGCCTGTCTACTGTGGGTGACTCTGCTGGTATTTGAAATATTGGTAGCATAGTTTCCAGCATAATAGCTAGAAGGCAAAAGAATGTCATGGAAGAAGTTGAAAGAGCCATTGAGGTTCCAGGGAGGAAGTGTTCAGAGCCAGTGAGAGAGTCAGAGACAGCTCCATGGAGCAGCAGGCAGTGTAGAAGCTTTATGTGGGACCTTGAAGGGTAGACAAGACTCAGCACACAAACTGAGAAGAATGGCTAGCCACAGCTTGGAGGTATGCACAGAGAACAGGAAATGGCATTTGCATAGACTGGACCATTGGGCTTGTGGCAGAGAATAAAAACAGACTATAGGGGTGGATTGGGGTCAGATTGGAAAGAGCCTTGGGTGCTGAGCAAAGTAGCTTCAGCTCCATGCCGTGGCACTGGGGAGCCATCCATGGTGTTTGAGCAAGACAGTGACCAGAGCTCTGCTGTGAAAGAGAGCCTGGTAGCAGGGAGTTAGATGGATAAGGGAAGGGGATGTTAGATGCAGAGAGGCCAGTAATAGCTCAGGAGGAGGAAAGGGCCTGAACCAGTGGGAATGAGCAAGTAGATGAGAAAAACATCCAAAGCCAAGTCCACAGGGCTTGGCAATGATAGGCAAGGGATGAGTCTCAAAGTTTCAGTGCTGTGATGGACATCCTGTTAACAGAGCAGCTGGCCCAGGGGAAGGAGAACATGTGAGCCTGATGACTGTTGCCCAACAGTGAGGCACAGGGCCACACACACACACACACACACAGAAAGAAGAGATGGCTGGTGACATAGATACTGAGGGACTGACATAGCCAACTTGGGACTTCTTGAGGTGTTCTTGAGAACATCCATCGAGTCCACCACTTGAGCCTCTACTGAGAACAGCCTGCTCCCAGGCATCCCCAAACTCCATGTCCACCTCTTTACCTAGTTAGCTTTCTACTGTGGGTCTGGAGTGATGGTTTCCAGCCCCCAGCCCTCCACTCTGCACCCCCAGTGCAGCTGCTACTGTTTGTGGATTTGCCAAAGGACAGACAGCTCAACCTCTGTCTAAAACCCCACAGGCACCATGTGCTTTTAGAAGATTATCTTATGCTGAGAGTTTTTGGCCTCCCTGAGATGTCCAGCAGTGCCCCAGAGGTTGTGACCTGGAGCTGGGGGCTGAGCCTGGAGTTGGGCCTCCTTAGGAGCACTGTGAACCCACTTCCCAAACCCCAGATCAGGACATGTGTGCCAAAGAAGGGTCCCTATGCCCATGCTTGCACAGAATGGCAGTGTGGCATCCAAACACCAGACTTGCAGAAACTTGCGGCTGTTTATAGGTACCAACAGAGTAGGACATTCTAATCTGGGGCACATCCGGGTCGAGGGGAGGAGGGTCTCTGCATGTGTAGTCACCCACTGTGGGGACCTTGGTTTGCTGGTTTGCAGGGGCAGAAGAGGCAAGCTGTGTTCTACCCTCACGTTGCCCTTTTCTAGCTGTGGTTCTGGGGTCTGGTGTCCAGCAAACCGGGTGGTGGTGACAGTGAGGGTGAGCCTGAGGGGTTGGTGCCCTCCCCCTGCCAGTGCCTCCCCTCCACGCTTGAAGACCCTGCATCCCCGAGCCAGCCTGCCAGGCTGCGCCGTAAATCTGTACTTCCCAGGCTTTTAGGGGCAGAGGCGCTCGTGAATAATTCAGCCGCCTTCTCCGAGATGAAAACACCCTAATAGAACTAATGGACTCCCGGTCTCGGAACTCGGCTCTTGTGGGACCCAGCTCATTCACCAATTGCTTCTGACATTCAGCAGCGACACTCCCCAAATGCAAACACTGCTGCGCCAGGATTTTAGAGTGCCTGGTGAACCCTAATAACTTAGACTGTCCCTTTTAATGAGCAGACGCCCAGGACAGCAGGTGAGTGTCCCTTTTTGCTCCAGGAGCAGACACCCCGGACACCTGCCCAGGGGGCTGCAACTGGATGCAGCTGTCCTGGGAGCTAAAATAGCAGAGGAGGTGCTTTTCTGGGCTGCTTTTAGCTGATCTGAAGTTAGACCCTCTCCATTGCTCCACAAGCCGGCTGTAGGTAGATGTGCAGGGAGTGTGTGCGGGAGGAGGGGAGGGTGGAGGGTTCCGCCTGGCAGCGCCCGCGGTGGTGCCCTGTGCCTAAGCTGCTCGCCTCCCAGCCCTGCCGGGTTCTGACTGCTTTCCTGCTTGTGTCCCTCCGCGGGAGCCATGGGCAGCTACCTCGCGTACCTTGTGGGGCTCACCATTGATGAGGATTTAGCATTTTCGAATGTTCCTGAGTGTCGCCAGGGTTCGGTCGCTGTCTGAAGTCGCCTGGAAGCACATGTCTGGGAGAGCCAGGGGCTGCCTGTTGGGGCCTCGGTTCACGGACTGTTCTTCAGCACCAATAATTTTGTGTCTGCCCTGCCGCGATGCTGTGCCTCTTAGAGCCACGAGTGTTCGGGGATCCTCGGCTTCCCTCTGCCTTCCTGCTTTCAAGAACTTTGGCTAATTTCCCTACTAGATAACAAATACTGTGGTTTGAAAAGAGGCGTTCCGAATCCCTCCTCGGTCTCAACCTTTGTGCTTTGGTGGCTTTCCTTACATTTCGTTGAGAAATGCCAGGTAGGAAACTCTGGGGGGAGGGCGCTTTCCCCTCCCACCCCCTTAATGAGGTTAACGTCTTCGTTTCAGTTTTCCATGTCATGCTGTTAACTGGCAGGAATTCCCCTGAGCCCTCCAGTCTACAAGAATAGATTTGCAAAAGGCAAACCCAGGAGCAGGAGAGGATGGTCGTGGTCCTATCATCAGCAAGTGCTGTTGGGGAGAGGGCGGCTTTGTCTTGAGACTGGGGATGGTGGGGCAACAGCCATTGATGGGGAGCAGACAGAGCCTGGTCTGGAAGGCATGAGGATTCTGCACCTTCACACTCTGGGAAGGTGCCCCGGCAATCGGTGACCCCCCTTCCTCCCCTGCAGGGTTTTACAGGGACCCTTCATTCATGGCCCTAACTCTGCTGTACTCAGTTGCAGGGGCAACAGATCCCCACTGAGGGCGGGCAGCCACCACCAAGGGAACTAGGTTCATTTCACCCAGCAGACAGTCCCAGCTGCACTAAGAACCATCAGGAGTCCCCTTCTGCCCTCTGTGCCCGCCACCCTTTCTCCTCTGTCCAGAGTCAGGCCTCCCTTAAGTACCTCATGAGGGTGGGCATGCCCCAGCCCTCCTAGCACAGACCCATCTGTGGGCACCAGGTCTCAGCTCCCTCTTTGCTGCTCACATCTCCTCCAGGACCAAGTGTGCACCTGTAGCAAGAGACCTGTGGTCTGTAAGATATCTTATAAGGGATGATCAGAATCGAGGGGACTGTGGCCTCACAGAGAGGGGTATCCCTTTTGCCCTGGATGCGGTGGCCAGGAGGGTGACTGAGGTCCTGTTTTTCCTGCTCTCCCTCTCTCCTTACCCAGCTCCCCAGACCTCACCCATGACCCACCTCATTGGACTATGTCCTCTACGAGGGGAATCGTTGCTAATACCACTGTTTCATCCTATGAAGCATTTCTGGGGAGATTTGATAACTGCCCAGCTCACTGCTGTCATCCGAGCCCATGCTCCTGCATCATCTCCCTTTTTCTCCGCAGCACTGATTGTACCTGATGTCATGTTCCCATCTCACTACCAATGCCCCCCACCCCCTCATGCAGGCATGTCTGGGTATATTCCACGAGCCCCCCTGCCCAAATGCCCAGCAACCCATCTCCTGAAGCCACACAGCCACCTGGAATCAACAGCCTCGGTTTATCCCCATTTCATAGATATGAAGACTGAGGCTGAGGTGACCAGGACAACAGGCAGCCCCTGCCCAGAACTCAGCGGTAGGCTGCCGTCCACCTCTGGGGCCCTGATGTGTGTTCAGAGCAGGCTTGGCTGCTTTCTCCGGGAAACATTCTGAAAGCTGATAGCTATCGATCTGGCAGCTGATAGCTATCGATCTGGCCGGCCAGGCCTGAGGGGAAAGTGTAGGCTGGGCAGGTCTTGCTTTTCAGGAAGAGCCACAGCTGCAGCCAGCATTGGCCTCTCTGTGAGCAGGGTCCTGGGTCTGCCTCCATCTGCCCCACACTGGCAGGTGGCCCTTCGCCCCCTCAGAAATGCCTGTGATTTGGGGGTGGGAAAGTCTAGCTGGCCTACAGATGGGGGAGGGGAACCTGGTGCTGCCCCTTGTGAGCACTATGGCTCTACTTCCTAAAGCAAGCCACACCCTGGTGCCCCAGGCCCCTCTACTGCCTGGAAAGTGGGCTTTCATGCAGGAGCACCCCTACCTATTTTAGTGCCCCTCGGCAACCTCAGCCCAAACCCTGGGAGAGGGAGAGGTGCTGGGCCCTGCAGGGTCCTTGTGGGTCTGGGCTGTGGTGAGGGCAAATCCCAGGAGGGGATATACCCAGAGAGCACTAGGTGCATCAGGAAACCAGCCCAAGCCCCATGGAGCTGTCCAGCCCTTCCAAGGAAGCCGCCTTCACAACACTTGTTCAACCTCTGGCCACCCACCCTTTTGCTGATGATCAGACACATAGCTCATCCCCTGCCTTGAGAGGAATCAATGCAACAAATGAGACAGTTAGAGGTGTAAGCACATTAGATGACAACAGGGGCAGTGGAGAAAAACTACAGTAGGGAGGGGATGTGGCATGTTGGGATTGGGTAGAGTCTAGGGGGAAATGTGTGATGGTTCCAAGCACCCAGTGTCCAAGGTGTCCAGGCAGATCAAGGTGCAGGCACAGCCTGCCCCAGTGAGACACTAACCTGTAGGGACAGGTACTGTCCAGCCCTAACTGGTCCAGGGCCTCCGTGGAGCCCTATAGGGGCTCTGGAGGCATGTCTTCACTCATTGGTTTCCCCAAGCTCCCCTCCGAGCCCCCTTTCCCACTGCTGTGAACTGGGGGTTCTTGCAAGAGCAGTCCTTGCTCTCAGGCATAGTGGCCCAGAGAGTAAGAGAGACCTACAGACAGATCCTTGCATAGAAACCTATTTGGGCCATGAAGGGAATGAGGATGCTCCAGAGATGTCCCTCCTTCTGCAGTGCACATTCAACAGGATGGTCAGTGGCCAGCACCCATTGAAGGGACCTGGCCTCACAGGGCTCGTTGCTACTGCCTACCCCTGCTGAGCAGAGCAGAGCACAGCCATCCCCAGAGTTTGTAGAGAAAGGGACAAGCCCAGGGCAACTCCAGTGTGACCTCACTCTCAAGTACCACCACTGAGCCTCTTCAGCTGCCCCAGGGCAGGACAGCCCTCCAGGCCCCTCACAGGGACACTTGAGTTTGTTATCTCTTGGGGCAAGAAGTGCAGCAGGGCTGGTTCCCTCCAACTCCCAGGACTAGTCTCTAGGACCCCACTGTTATAGCTGGCTCTGTGGAAATGTAGCTTCATGTCTATCCCTTCTCTGCTCAGAGACAGTGCAGAGGCAGGAAAGAGAGTTTGATGGTCTTATCTCCGTGGCCTTGCTTTGGTCTGGTGTAGGGATTTTTGGGGAGCCTTGGAAGGTAGATTCAGGGACCAGGTATTTGATACAGGTCAAATACACAGTGAGGTTGAATGCTCCCAGCACAATACCACCGTCCACCACTTCATTCCTTTTTATGATATGGATTAGCACAAATGGAAGTATTCAATACACTTCTTCTTTGCCTTTTTTTTTTTTTTTTTAATTTATCAGTATCTCTTCAAGCTCATTGCATATCACTCTACACGGAGGTACTCCATTCTTGACAGTTGCCCACATTTCCACTGTAGGGATAGACTATGATTTAGATAACCAGTTTCCCTATTGATGGGCATTTATGTGGTTATTAGTTTTCAAGAGTGTTTATTTGTCATTTAGTATGTTTATTTAGCAATGGCTCTTAACATTGAAGCTTTGAAATGTTCCTGTCTAAGATCTTCTGACCTCCTCCATATAAATGTATTCTGTTCTTTCTGTTGTGAAAATCCATGGGTTGTGGCACATTTAATTATCACCAAGCATGAAGCCCAAAGAACTCTACTGGTACAATGGTGCTTTCTATAAGCAGAGAGTGTATGGATGTGTGGATGGTATTTTCCTTTCAAGGCTTATGAATAAGGACCCTTTCTGGAGGTGGGCCAACCTGGCACATGGGGTAAGATGCCCTTCTGGCATCATCACACTGGAGTTTGCTTCAGTGAGGAGGGTGATCCCTGCCTCTCTGTGCCTTGGGCTGCTTCCCCAGGGACAACCCTTTGCCTAGGTTTGCCCTGGGCATCACCTTGAGAGAGTGTTGTGGCTTCACCCAGTCACCAGGAACAGTAGGTAGCATCAGCCCTCAGCAATTGGGGGTGCAGGCTCTCTGCATGCTGCCCCCATTCCTGGAACACTTTTAAGTTCAGCTTTCCTGCCTGGAATGCAGCTGCGCCTGTGCTTGTTTCACGCGTGTGGGGCAGAGAAGGGTGAGGTAGCCAGAGTTCTTGATGACCCAAGAATCCTACTGCCAAGAGGGGCCAACCCCAGTCCCAAGCACAAAGAGCTTTTGGCAGCTGCTCCAGTTGTAGGAAGTTGGCCACAACCGCTCCCTGCCCTGGGCCAGCCACCCAGCCTGGGGCACAGAGAGCAATGGCACACTCTCTAACCCACCACCACTCGGCATTTCCCATCTGGACAGCAGCGGCTCCAGGGCTAGGCGGTACCATGTTGTCCATGACGTACAGCGAGAGCCTGAGGAGCGTGAGCAGCAGGTGCCACTCCGACTGGGCCCTGCACCCCGTCCGCCAGACGGACACACTGGAGCTGCAGCGCCTGCGAGAGGTGCGCGCGGCCGCCCAGGCCAGGAATATGGAGAGCTTCCTCCGCATGCATGGACTCTCCCTGGACAGCTGCACCGCCCGGCGCACGGGCATGAAGTATCGGTAAGGGCTGGCATGGGGCTGGGGTGGGAAGTGCACTGTCCATCGGAGGAAGCCTGGAGGCAAGAGCTACAGGAGCAAGGGATGCAGTCCAGAAAACATTTGCTTCTGTTATACTGTTAGCATAAAAAAATTTTGTTTAAAAAGTTCCAACCATGTAAAAATGTATAAAAGAAGAAAATGAAAGTCTGCTGTAGTCCTATCCTCTAAAGATACACTCTATTAAGAGCTTGGTGTAGTCTCATAAAAAAAAAAAAAAAAAAGGTCCTGAGGGGAAAAGGTGTTTTTTTGTTTTGTTTTTTTATAATGGGGTAAAGAGTCCTAGAGTGGCACAGTTTGTGTGCTCAACTACTAACCTAAAGATTGGAGGTTCACACCCACTCGGTGGTGCCACAGAAGAAAAGCTTGGTGATCTTGTTCCAAGATTATGGCAAAGAAAACCCTATGGGACAGTTCTACACTACAACACATAGGGTTGCTGTAAGTCAGAATTGACTCATCAGCAACAGGCTTGGATTTGGTCTAGCAAGTGTAAACATATTGTTTAATTTGTCTTATAACTTCATTGGGACAAATTCATTATTAGGGGCTAGCTAAATATAAACTAGTGAAAACACTTGAATTCATTACCTCTAATGACAAATCCAGGAGCTCTGGTAGGTTCAAACATCAGCCACTCCTCGAAAGGAAGGTTGGGCAATCTACTTCCGTAGTGATACTGCCTTGGAAACTCAAGGAGCGGTCACTATGAGTTGGGTCTGACTCTACGGCACCTAACAACAACAATGACAAATCCATTCTTGCAACAGAAACCAGGTTGGATCTTATGGGCAAAGGTGTGCTCCCCTCCTCTATCTCCTTAAGTACCCTATTATGGAAAGAGGTTTTGAACAGGTGACCATTGAATTAGGAAAAAAAAAAAAAGCCACTGCCCCCAATTCTGAGTTGATTCTGACTCATAACAACCATATAGGACAGAGTATACCTGCCCCATAGGGTTCCTGAGGCTGTAAATCTTCACAGAAGCAGACTGGGACACTTTTGAGTTCAGCACATCTTTCTCCCACTGTTGTTGGATTGAACAACCACCAACCTTTTGGTTAGCAGCCAAGTGCTTTAACCACTGTGCCACCAGGGCTTCTGGATTGGTTACAGTAAACTGTAAGTAGCTGTGAATAAATATTCCATGTGACTTCTGGATGATAGACATGTGGTCTGACTTTTCTTGGAACCACAGGACATTCTGTGTAGCTTGCTGGTCTTTGGAATCAGCACCTGGGACAGCGCTCAGATTGGCCCACTTTCTCTTCTGAAAGTTGCAGAAAGTGACTAAAACCAAAACCAAACTCACTGCCTTCCAGTCGATTCCAACTTATACCGACCTTTCCTTAGGTTTCTGAGGCAGTATCTCTATGGAAGCAAATTGCCCAGTCTTCCTTACAAGGAGTGGAGGGTGGGTTTGAACCTCCAGCTTTCTGGTTAGCAGTCAATGCCTTAGGCACTATGCCACGAGAGGTCCTTAGAAAATGACCAGAGCACCCTAAAAAGCTGGTGTTTTCCTTTATAAATCACTGTAAATTGCAAATAGGCAGTTTTGCCACCTGTGGCTCCTGAAGGGGTCCCCCTCAGCCTTTGTAGGATTGCCAGATAGAGCAAATCAAAATACAGGACGCTCAGTTAAATTTGAATTTCAAATAAATAGGTTTTTGTTTTGTTTTGTTTTTTTGTTTTTTAGTAAAAGTCCCATGTAATATTGGGAACATTTTTGTTGTTGTTATTTGCCATCAAACTGGTTCTAACTCATGGCTACCCAGCATACACAGAGTAGAAGTTATGATCTTGTGGAAGCAGATTACAAGGCCTGTTTTTTTTGAGGCACCACTGAGTGGGTTTGAACCACCAGCTTTTTGTCTAGTAGTGGAGCTCATAAATATTTGTGCCACCCAGAGCGCCTATTTGGAACACACTTAGTAGTTACTGGTTATTTAACTGAAATTCAAATTTAACTGGGCATCTTATATTTTATCTGTCAACCCTAAATTTTTTGCTTCCATCTCACAGACCCTAAGGGTTGTGTGACTGTTCTCTGGAGAGGGGGATCCCTGGGTGGCACAAACAGTGAACAAAGTTAGCCCCTAACCAAAAGATTGGAAGTTCAGGTCCAACAAGAGACACCTCAGAAGGAAATCCTTATGATCTACTTCCAAAAAATCAGCTGCTAACTACCCTGTGGAGCACAGTTCTACCCTGATACCTGTGGGGTCACCATGACTCGAAACTGGCTGCAGCTGGTTTTGGTTTTGTGTGGAAAGTAGAGCAGAGACCAGTCCAGTCCGTTTAACATTCTCTCCCATGGACAGTCAGTTTGGCCCTTCCACCCACTGTTTGAACATGTGATAGTTTAAAGAAACAAAACACTTCTGCCATGAGTCCATTAGATGGCAGAATTCTTAAAGTTTTATGTTCTGAATCAAACCTTCAGGGAAGGACAAAGGGTCAGCTAGTTTAGCCAACGGAACTTCTAATTCTGATGGAAGTTTCTCAAGAGACATGCTGTGCTTTTTCCTTTCTTTCTTTCTTCTTTTGCCTAGTCACGGCTACCTTTCATTTATTCAACAAATATCTGTTGAAACTGTGTTTGAGGACCCGGCTTCTTCCTGTGCAGATGGGATTTATGATGGGGCTAGAGGGTGGATGTATCTCTTATGTTTCTGGTGCTTCAGGGAAGATGTCTATGCTGCCATCCAAAACACTTCTAAACTAGCTTGCGGTGATGAAATATCCTGGGGACATTTGCTTCCCAAGGAGGAGAGGGGACAAGAAAACAACTCACTCCTTTAGCAGTTGATGGGCCAAAGATTTGCACACCCGTGAGGCTGTCTTTATCTGGTGAATCCCTTCTTGCTGCACATGGAGGTTTCAGTTATCTGGAAATGGGGGCACCATAACTAACACTGCCAGTTATTAAAGATCCCAGATAAAACACCCTTCTATAGTTAGCTGTCCTCTGTCAGCGGCTGGGCCAGGACTTAGTTAACCTTGGTCTTAAATATTAATATGAAAAAGATAATGCCTTCAGATAAGTACTGCTCAGTGGGGCCTGGAGACACCGCGGCAGGCCTGGATGCTCTAACAGAGGGACTGAGCTGCAGCTGGGAAAGCTTTCCTGTTAATTTGTCCTTTCCTTTTTGTTTTTTAACTGCCTTCAATTCTTGCTGTTTAAAAAAAAAAAAAATGTATTTTTAAAACCCAAACCGTCCTTATGTAAGCATCAGGAGCAGAGTAAGGGGAACAGGAGTCCCTGGTTGGAACAAACAGTTAATACACTCATTTGCTAACCAGAAGGTCAGAGGTTCAAGTCCACCCAGACGTACCTGGGATCTAGTTCCAAAAAATCAGCCATTAAAAAGCCCATGGATCACAGTTCCTGAGCCCTGGGGTGGCACAAATGGTTCACACTCAACTGCTAATCTAACAGTTGGCAGTTGGCAGCCACCCAGGTGCACTATGGAAGAAAGACCTAGAAAACTCTCAGGGTAGCTCTACTCTGACACACACAGGGTCATCATGAGTTGGAATTGACAGCAGCAACAACCACAAGGGAACTGTGGTCTAGCTCTTCCCTTCTATTCCCACCTGGCTCTAGTGCTGAGAGGTGTCCTCAGATGGGGCAGCAGTTATGCCAGTGGGCAGCCAGAAGCTGTGGCCTTGGGCTCACCATGCTAAGCACCAACCAGCCCCTGGACTGGGCATGGCTCTCCCTTGCTTCCCACAGCACCAGGAGGCCTTGCACGGCCCTTGCCACCTCTCTGGTCTCAGCCTGGACTCTCTCCCTCCCACTCAGGATGCTCTGGCCACACCTGACTTCCTTTGCTATCTCAAACACATGAGCTCATGTCATCCTCAGGGTTCCTGCACTTATTGTTCCTCCTGCGTGGAGTGTATGTCCCCTGTATTTCCCCACACCTGGCTCCTTCCCTTCATGTGGATCTCAGCTCCATCCTCAGGGACCATCCCAACCACCAGGCTGAGTGAATCCTTCTCAACCCCATTGTTCTGTTTTATAGTCTTCATTTCACCTCCCACCATGCCTGTTGCCTTGTTTTTGCCTCTCTGAACTCCCTCTGGTGGCACAGCAGTTAAGTGTTCAGCGGCTAACCAAACGGTTGGTGGTTCAGACCCACCCAGCAGCTCCATAGCAAAAAGACATGGCAATCTATTCCCATAAAGAGTATAGCCTAGAAAGCCCTATGGGGAAATTCTGCTCTGTGGCATGGGGTTGCTATGAGTCAAAAATGTATTCAACAGCACCTAACAACAACAGCAGCACCCTTTTTGGGAGCAGAGCCTTTGTCTGTCCACATCACCTAGAACATTCCAAGCCCCTATAAGTACTGACTGAATGGTGTTGAGTGGTCTTGGTCTTAGTCCACTGTATGGAAGATTCTCCTGTAAAATGTACCTTGTTTCTGGGACAAGAGTAAAATAGGCCTGGCAGCTGCATCTAAGCCACTGTCTGGGTATGTGTTTTGGATTGAATTGTGTTCCCCCAAAATATGCAACAGTTGTGAGGATGGTACAGGACCAGGCAGTGTTTTGTCTGTTGTTTGTAGGGTCACTGTGATTCAGAACTGACTCGATGGCCCCTAACAACAAACAATAAAGTATGTGTTGAATTTCTGGCCCTTGTGCCTGTGGGTGTGATCCTGTTTAGACATAGAGGTTTTCTTTTGTTATGTTATTAGGTCACACCAGTATTGAATGGGTCCTAAACCTAATCACTTCAGAGTTAGACCAGAATAGACACAGAGACCTTCAAGGGGAGATAGACACCATATGAGGAGCATCTACTAGCTAAGGAATGCCCAGAGCTGCCGACAAGGAAGGAATCTACATGGCTGAGAGCTTAATTTGGACTTTTAGCCTCCAGAACTGTGAGAAAATAAAATTCTAAAGCCACCTACTGTGGTATTTGTGCTACAGCAACCCTAGGAGACTAAGGC